TTTTATCACAAACTTACTTCTTTATCACTATGGAAACCCACTTGTCCAACATCCATGTCAGCAGTCTTCTTTAGATTGGCCCATGGCGTATAGACCACTGAGATATTATTCATTTTATTACCTAATATCAAAACTTATTAATCAAACATTGACAAATGAAGAGATGTGTTTTATGATGATGGAGCTTAGAATAAGATCCAGCCATTTTGGGGAAGGGCCTACATGGAAAGGACTACATGTTTCATATCAGCAAGAACCAYATTGAAATGGCATTTTTAATTTTAATTTGGACCATTATAATGATATTGATGAGATCTCATGTTAGGCCAATTAATGTGATGCTGATATGATTATATAATAATGATAGTGATGAATGGCAATCAGCAATTCATTGTGAATATTTATATGTAAATTCCACCAATCTAAAGTTCTGCTTATTGCATTAATTTCTAAGTGGTTGGACTCACAGGTTTTTTAGAGTAAGATTGTTAATATGAAAAAAATGTCACCTTGWATACTATTAGCTTTTACCAACTGAGCACAATCTGTTAGAACTTCTTCTGGAATCTCATCTATTGTTTTACCCTAAAAAATCACATTATACATAACATCAACTCACATAAAGCTCCTGGTTTTGAACAGTCATAAAAAACATTCATAAACAAATTGCAATTTTAAGTTATTTTTACTAATTGTTTATATATTTTTAGATCTAGTTGATGTTTACCTTTGGCATTCTGATGTAGACATGTGCTGATGATAGTTTATCAACATGAAACCTATTGTTGATTAATGAGAATTATTATTAAGACTATCATAAGCATTAGATTTTTTCTCAAGAAGTAGCCTATCAAAATTGAGGATTCAGACATCATGTCCTCGATGGCCCTTCACCAATCATCTGTCATCTGGCAATTGGGAAACAAACTTTGAAAGCCTCTATTTRAAGTAAAATTTTGATAACAGTTTGACAAATACCTACCATACATCTTCTGGGAATCCCCATTTTATAAGATCTTCATCTAAAGGGAAATGAAATAAATAAATATGACAGTCAGAAAGGGATTGAATGAACATAATGTTCATCTTATTTTTTATAACACATAACATATAACACTTGAATTATTTTCATCATGTATCCACAAAATTTGTATCTTTAGTGTTTGATTAGATATTCTAATAAATCTACCAGCCACAAACCAATTCAACTTTCTTACTTTCAAATTTGTCCAGCCCCATGTATATTGTGTATTTTTCTGGCGGAGTWACTGAAACATCTRGAATAATCCAAAATAAAAWTGAAATCAGCTTGTCAAACAAGCCAAAYAYACATAAATGTTACTTACCATGACTMGTAAAGTAGAAAACCATATTTTATGCACTTGTATTGCCAAAAATCATCACACAAATGTTATAAAATTTTGAAAACATGTGCAAAACGAGAGAAACTGRGTACAAGTTTGACCGAGATAGAGTGGGACGARACGCATTGATTTRTGGGAAAATACATACTGTTGCTATGGAGATGTAGAACGCTAACTAAAATACCACAGAAACGAACAACAAACTCCATTCATTTGGAAGCTTTGATCTTGGCTGAATAGTGTTTTACGGGRATTGTTMTAACTCAGARACCCGAATATGGCACTTACAAATCCTAAAATACCTCCTCGCTTCGCCATGTCGGACTGGCACACCTCAAACACTGTAATTAGAACAAATGCAGAAAGGCAACGTGAAGCATCCCACCAARTACGACAGGAAGGACGATGGCTACGAAACGAGACTGATAACCACACTAGATGGACACAGCACGATAGCAATACCAAGTTAGAGAAAAGAATTGATGATATCAATGACTGGAGAAAGAGTTTAGAGAGGTGTTTAGCCGAAACAGACCACGAGATTGCTTTACTGGAAGTAGAGAAAGAAAGGACGGAGCGAGCTCTCGAAGCCAAGAAAGTACCTCTGGATATTGCGCTGGAATGTCTGATGCTGAGAGAAAACAGACTTAATATTGACCTTGTGCGAGATGAAGTTGAGGCTCAACTACATAAGGTAACGTGTGTATGCTTCTTGAGSTATTGAAAGTCTATCTAAAGCGCTATCACTAATCGTTCATCTTTATTACAGGAGGTGGAAGTCATCGAAGGAACTAAATCCTTACTTCAACAAAAGGTAGATGAAGCAGCGGAACAGCTATGGTAAGCAAGGACAACAYRTTTTCTTCACAAATCTTTGGAGCTAAAGAGAGTAAACAAATCATTATTCCTTCACTTTCTGTCAAATTGGTTTGTTTACACATTGTACTGTCTATTGTTGTACAGCTTTTGTTTGTGGCACACTAGATAGCAACTAGTCTTAAAAAACAAGTCTTTTAAATTAAAATGTTAAAAGTCTGGACATAGTTAATAAGCTATATATAGTTTGAACTATCTAATTTCTAGTTGCCATGGATGCTTTAATTATATTATCTCAGTAATTATTAATCATGCATAGACCAAACATGTCAATTTTGCATTGAAMKTTTCTGCTAAAATCCACAGTAAATACATGTTAGCACAAAACCCTGGTCAAGGTATGGCTTAAAGAAAAGCATTTTTATCACAGCTAATCTCTTTTCCTCCATTTTTCAGTTTACTCCAAGAAGCTCGACACCAGCTGCATTTAGACTTGACTGACAAATACACAACCCTGCAAATAGATGGYGATTGTCACTCTTTGAACAACTTGTCKGCAAATATTGGCTTTCAAGTCAATCCAACAAGAACCATCAAAGGAAGTGTCACTCCAGAAACCTGGGACTCTTTCTCTAACTACAATAAACTCAGAGCTGAAGCTGAGATGAAGGCTTCCAGTCAYCTKAGAGAGGCCATTTTTGCAACACTGCAGCAGACAGCAAAYGATTTAGAAGCTCAACGCAAGGCTTCTGARTAYGCWTTTAGAAAGAGAACACATGAAAGTCARCAAGCAAAGAGTGAACTSGAATGGCAGCAAAARAATGTGAGTAAATTGGGCTTTATCTRTGAATWRTTATTAAAACTAAGAGAACTGGTTCACTCAATGTGTTMWAAGGTATTTTTAGACAGGAATTTTGGTTTTCCTCMSTCTATGTTTAGTGTCTCACTGTGCAAGGTCATAAGTATAACTCGAGTGTTTTGTGTACCATAATTCCTGGTTTAACATAGTCATATCTTGCATATTGAAAAAAAAGGATAATTGCACTTTAACAACAATATCACTCTTATCATGATTTCTCTATATTGCAGACTGAGAAAGAAATTGCTACACTTGAAGGGGACATCAAGGAACTTAAATATGCTATCGATGCTAAAAATGCACCAATGATGGTAAGTCTTAGTCATGTTACCACGACTATACTTTGAAAATATCCCACTGATAACACTGCATTGAAATAATGGAAATTTATTTTCCATGAGCACTGAAAGCGTGGCCTAGCAGATACGATCACAGGCAAAACTCCACCCTACCCCAGACAATGAGACTATACCCTATCCTAGACAAAAAACTACCTTTCCCTGACTACTACCCTAACCCAGACAAATGGGCAAAAGAACAAATTGTGATGTTAGTGATGTAATAATGTTGTCATCTGTAAATTAACGTTCATTACTTAAAGTGGCTATCATATTTTAGGTTGCTCAGACACGTCTTGAGAATCGTACTTACAGACCCAATGTGGAGCTGTGCAGAGACCAAGCACAATACCAGCTGTGCCATGAAGTTGCAGAGATCGGCGGCTCCATCCGTGCCCTCACTGAAAAGTTAAGAGAATCMGAAAACTCTCTTCAAGCATTGAGAAGCAACCTAAGCCGTATAAATGAGGATCTTGGCATCAAAAACAACTCACTTGCTTTGGAGAACAGATGCATGAATGTGAGAGAAAAGATGAGAGAGATTCCACAYAGTATGACAATGAACCATCCATTTGGYCCMCCAATTGGCAACAAAGAGTACAGTACCATGATGAACTCTCTTGGACAGTACACCACAACAACTAAAGACACAACACAACCTGAAATKAGGCTCCCCCCTGAGACTGGCGGCCATTTTAATCCTCCTACAAAGCAGTATACTCTACCTACTGGTTATACTGGAAGTCTAAGGACTGTACCAGAAACTGAAAGAAAAGCTCCTGTACCAATTGCCGAATAAATTWCACTTTTAATCAATAAAGCTGTGATTTTATTATATTTCTAATAATATTATTATAAATGGTCTGAGTCAGCATGGAATTTTTTTGTATGATTTACATTTTTTTTTAATTTGGAAATATTTTGTATACAAGCAGGAAGCAGCAGTGCTAGTTAATGTAGTTTTTAATGAAGTCATCCACAAAAGAATGGTTAAATACTTATAATTGATTGAAGCACTCATAAAAGTACAAAATTATTACAACTATATAAACTGACCAAACTTGTAWAATAATGATAGCAGTACTTAATTTTCAATATTTATTAAAAAACACAAAAAACAAYATTCAGCAGACTRTTTGATAAAGTGAATGCTTTCAATWTTAATTGACTTTAATTTCATACATATACCTATTATAAAATCTATATTTACATTATTTCTCTAGGTGTTTACTTCTTGACRTGAAAATTATATAAAAATAAGCTAAATCATCATGCTAATATAATTCCTTCGACAATGTTCAAACAATAATTTTTATGCCACTCAAGTATGTTATGCTCTATCCTTTGTCAGTTTCTAGGAACTTTGTCATACWATTGTTCCTTAACTTCTGCTGCAAGTATCATTAAAATGATATCCCACAGTCTAGAACGACTGAATATGTACAATGGGTCATACTACTTACTCTTAAATAAGCCAAGTTATATATTAATATACACAAATAAATGTGTATTTTGTCATTCTGTGCTGATTGTATCARGTCTCTTGTTGAATTCACTACAATCTAAGCCATAAACTCTGGTGCTTTAAATAATCCATAGAAAATGGAGTCAAAAGCAGAAGGGAATTGTTGATCACATAAGTGCTTGTGCCACGTGCTACCRTACAAGGCTAGCTCTGTGTTAGTAAGGCATCTCCTCTACTTCTGCAGCTTATATAATTTTAACCACAAATATCAAAGTTTATGTAACAAGATTTTGTGTTGATGCAACTCTATCTGTTTTTTCTTTACAACAGCAGCACAAKGCAATCTGCCCTATGACAATCATGAAAAGCACTGAAAGCCCTATCAAAATGAAAAAGAAAAGTCAAATTTTTTTGTGGCACAACCTCTTTCCTTGCAGGTATTGCTGGGATCCCTGTGTACCTTCCTTTGTGGGRTAGGGCACATAGGGATCCCAACAGGTAAACAACTACAAAAAGACCACAGWACTTACCATAAGCAAGCCACCAATGCCAATTAGTTGGAAAGTCTTGCATAACTGATAAACACATATAAARTCAAGTCATACATTTTGTATATTTTTTATAACACTTGATTATATGAATAATTCATAAAATTTTCTAGTGATTGATGTCGTTCAGTTATTGAGTCTATATATAATGTATACCTGCACAAGAAATACCAAGATGTATGAGTGATATTGTTATAGCATAATCCCATATTCTTTGTCTTATAAAAATCAGAAATATTCCTGTTGACACCACATATGTTAACACCAAGGCCAATAAATTGACTAAAAATAAACAGAAAACACAAATTAATAAAATCATACTGAAGAACTGTCATTTGMAATAGCAGGTGTAAGRTMTTTTTTTGYTAAGTAAAGACTTTTCGTGTACTTGTACGTGACAGATGTTAAAAGTGTACTGTTAGAAGTATTTCTTTGATAACTTACCGATATCTTGATCATTATCAACACAGCAATTTTTAAAGTCAAATGGGATTTTTCCATCAAATGTTTGAATCCTTAAAATTTAACATAAAGTTAAAAGTAGGCTTATCGTTAGTTTCAACCATTACGYAATGAAAAAGACTTAATAAAAGCAGAACAAAATCGTTAGATGTGAACAGAGTCAAAAATTTACTTTCAGCTTTCGATCAGCGAAAGTTGATTGTCAAAATCAACTTGGCGTGCAGAACTTACTTGAAGGCGCCAACCAGGACTGATGAAAACATGTAGAAAACAAAATAAAATATGACCAAGGCCACCCAAAGATTGAAGCAAATTAGCTACCAAAACAAATAAAATGTATTTCARCATTACTTAAGGGCTATTTTGTCGTCTAACTGTGAAATATTTAAGAGATTTACCCTTGTGCCTGAGCAAAACCGAGTATTCATCGCCATATTTGTTTTGTCGAAGTCCTGTCGTCATGAGCGCAAGATAGCACAGGAAGCCCACGCAAAACATAAAAAATGTAAATCTTGACGAATCATTAAAAATGAAAGGCGTGATAATAATAATGATAATACCCTGAAATGAGTAAAATTTCATAATGATAAAATTCGAAAGAATAAMAAATGTTTTGATAATATTTAGAAATTTAGCATACAACTTAAAATTGATATTTCTTAAATTGTTGTCTCTCAAACGCTCAAATTAGCTTTTGATTGGATATTTTAGAACGTTCCAGTTGAAGATGATCATTGTTAATCAAAATTTCGAATCAGTACCACATGTGAGATATTATACAAAATGCATGTTCAGCTGTAGGAGGTAATGGGATCCCTTTGTTCTTAACACAATACTTTGTTTTGATTGGTTATTTGATATTATGCAAATCTATTGCTCATTTATACTGACATGTGTCGGGGAGGGGATGTACTCTTTGTGATCCTTGTTCTGCTTCGTTGATCTGACTAAATTTTTATCTGTGACTGGTTTGCGGCAGTTTTTAAAGCAACGAAKACTGCTTTTTCCAATGAAGCCAAAGAATACGARTGGTGAAAGTGTTTTCAATGCAGAGTAACATTTCGAGATGATATCTCGATGGCACATAGGTGACATTGTTTCTAGGTATTGCATTACAAAGCTTCATTCCTTCACACACTGATATCCTGAACTCAACTTTGAATCAAGAAACCTGGAAAAGCATGCATCTCAAGACTTCAAGCTCAGTGAATCGAAGACCGGCTAGGGCCAGACCAGTTACTGTGCATTTTCCAGTGCCGAAAAGAGCGATTTCAAAGCTCCGGTCCTTGGCCATTGAGAAAGATCCTAGACTTGTGGATTTAGGCGTTTTAGCTGTCCAGATTTCAGACGACGAGAATGAGAATATTGTTCTTGGAATTGATCTTGAAAAACCTAAGGGAAAGGGACTTGTYATCTCGAATAAAACTTCTACGTCTACATTCTCGAATCCTTCAAGAGGTGCTCTGGGATTTCAAGCTTTGTCAAGAAACTTTCAAACTCCGACGTCTGGATTTTATCCCAATCAGTTCATGACAACCGCCGCACCACGGAATGAACCTCTGGCGTCTAAAATTAAGAAATCTGCTCAAAATACAGTGACAAAGAAAAGAGCAAAGGAGACACTGAATGCTGCCCGACGTGGTGGAGCCAAGGCTCGAAGCAGAGCTGGGAGGGTTTCAATACAATTGCCTCCTGCCTCAGCAAAAACTAGTACTTGGGAAATGGTCTACAGTCATATTGGTGTACCTGGAGAACAATKGCGCAAGCAGTCTAATCCTCCTCACTTTGAACCAAGTGTTGCATCTAAGGCATGTGGTATTGCAAATGTTCCAGTGGCTCAGCCAATACTGCCAAAAGAGAATGTCACAAAAGGGGATTCTAAAAGGAGAGAAACTGCAGCAAAGAGTCCTCCACACAAGTCACCCAGTGCAGCTAGTTCTGCCTTCTATTCTGAAGATGATAGTTCAGTGTCAAGTTCGCCATGTTCACATTCACCAATGAATGAAGAGGAGCTCCTCAACTTATTTGTTGATCAGAACTTCAGCGCAACGTCTATTTTAAAACAACTTGCTGAGAGCTGCAACAAAGGTGAGAAGAATTCAGATGCAGAAAATAGTGAGCAAAAGGGTTCAGATCAGAATACTAGTATTAAGTGGAACCAAGAAGCACCTGGTCTATCAATGACTCCCATTGTACAACCAGAGAAGTCCAAGACAGATGCATCATTTAATGGAGTGGAATCTCACCCCTTTGTATCATCACACATAAGCACAGGAGAGAGTCTAAATCAKTTAAACAACACATCTACTAGCACCAATTCTGCCTCTTCTCATCCAAACAGTGCAGTACTAAAGAGACCAAATTTGCTTGATGACAGCAGCAGCTGTTCAGCATCATGGTCTAACTTGTTTGAAAACCCAGCTAAAAGACAAAAGAGAATTTTTCCAGCAGTTGATACAAAGAAAGAAACTGTGGATCCTTCTATCAAGGCATTTGAGTTACATAAAGAACTACAGCCGACTGCTGTAGAAAAACAAACTCAGGATACTAAATTACAAACAACTGTTAATACTAGTAACAACCAACCGTCCTCCAAGACACCAAGCCAGAATGAGGCACTTAGAAACTACAGTCAATATGGATATTATTACACGGCAGAGGAACTCAAGGCTCTTGGTAAAAAAGCACTTCCTTTAAAGTCAACAAGTAAAGGATCATTTTCAAAGGCAAATAAAAACGAAAGTGTGCAACAGAATATCAATACCACCACTTYGTGGAATGGAGCTGTACTTAGCTCTTCAACAAATCTACATTTGCAAACCAAGCCTCAAGAATTGCTTACACAAGATAACACTTCCACCATATCTTTATCCAACCAAGGAGAATCACAGCAACAACAAAGAACCAAAGACTTTTGTAGTCTCACTGCAGCTGTTAAGGGAACTGCTGAAGAAAGCCTCATCAATGGCAGCGCAGCATTATCAGAAAATGTCTGTGTATCTTCAAGCAGTAAAGTAATTATCCAGGAAACAGCACCATTGATAAGTGTATCAGCTGGTAATAGCACAAGTGAAACAATCTCTTCTCTATCTAGTGTTTCTTCCACTAATGCAACTACTACAAAGCCTGAAAGTGTGCAAACTGACGCCAACAGCATAAACTTGAGAAAAACAGGTGGCCAGTGCTATGCATTAAGCTATGTTTACCCTATGGGGACTGTTTGGTATCCTTATGTAGCTATTACTCCATATGCAGTTCTTGGCAATGGTCAGAAGACTGATTCAGAATGTGATGGCAATGAAAAAGAAAAAGCAAATTCCATTGAAGGACTTAGTCAGTACATTGATTTAGCAAGCTCAATGAGATACTGGCAACAATTAAGTCTTTTGTATAAGAATAAACTTCTTGCTTCTACTCCAAGTGTTGCAAATCTGTTTGTTGGACAAGATAGAAGTGTCTCTGTGAACTCTTCAGCTTCATCTTTGAGTGCCGCATCTGCATCAGAGTCAACATTGCAGAAGAATGCATCCATTGCATCTTCATCTTCTGTGGCCAATAAACCTCCCAGGAGAGCCAGTGTTATAGTTACAACCCCTGAATACAGCAAAGAAGAAAGACCGCCATCATCTTCAACACCTGAATCAACTGCAAGCACTGAAAGTATAGCATCTGATGGCTCCAAGTCTGATGTCCCTGTTGTTATTGACAACTGYAACAGGCTTATAGAAGAACATTGTAATAGGATGAGTGAGGTACTCTCTAATACAACACAAGATGTTGGCTGCAACAGTAGCAGTGAGTCAACAAGTGTTCCTGCTGTACCATCACTGAGTTTCATACCTGACAGTTCMATAGCATATGTAAATATTGGTAATAATAGTACACAGGGGGCAAGGAGATCAGGTAAGCTTTTCATAGCACCTTCTAAATGATAACAGGTGGTGAAAAAAATATTAATGAGGGCTTTTGAGAATAATCACCCCTGATGTAACATATATAATATGAGTGGAAGACCTTTCTGGGCATTAAAAACTGCAAGTTGCATGTGAGGAAAGCCCAAAATTGTCAAAGTGAATATTTTATGTTACTCATCAAATTCAGACATAAGCTAAAAGCATATTTTGCTAAAAAGATAAAGTATTATTCTTAAGAGAAAATCGAAGTTAGAATATAGTTTGCAAGTCAGGACAAATCACTTGCTCTTTATATAAAGATTTGGTCATGGCAGTCAGTTTGTAAACACAGTTGTCTTTTCTAATGAATTCATAATGACATGATAAGCAATATTATTATATTCCATGCTTTGCATTAAWTTTTCTTTGTTGTTTTGTGTGTTTTATTAGAGGTATAACTTGTGCCAAATCTGTCTGTATAACTTACATATAATATTATCATTAGTTGTTTTTTCACAAGATGATACATCCCTACACATGGCCTATTGTTCTAACAACTATATTTATACATGTGATTTCAATKTTATTTCAGCTGGCAATGGAAAGGAGAGTAAAGGAAAAACAAAGAAGAGAAAATCCAGCAAAAATGTTTGATCCTATACATAATGTTAWTCTTTGCTTCTCAACTAGTTATGATATTATTGTTGTAATATTGAGATATTTTAGGAGTATTTAACAATTATTATTACATGTATATTGATTTTATTTTTCTATTTGTACAATCTCTATAGTGATTTATACAGAATGAAGTAATCAGCTTACAATACAAACAAAAGATATTTTATTAACAGATTATGTAGCTTGATGGAGGAGTGCTCGCACTAAATGCSTGAAATATAAATACTACAAAATAGGTGATAAATTATACAAATTTCTATGTTTCCTATTGTATAATCAACACTATTTAGTAGTAATTAGTACTATTTGTTTCAYGCTTTAAGTGCGAGCACTCAGTGAGAGCTTGTAGAGCAAATATCAGTGAAGCAAAGCATAATGTCCAATGTGTTATAGTTTATATTATTCAAACCAATGAGTCAAGTACTAATTATAGTACATTCACGTTTCTTAGTATCACTTTTGCAAATCAATTGCTGATACTCTACTTTCATGATAATTGTTCCAGTTTTTTTTTCAAGGTTTCAACACTTAACAAARAAATTAAAGTCTACTCTTTTGAAATTCCTGTTCCATCAAATAATACTATCTGAAAATTGAGAACRAAGAAAGATAAGTATAAAGAAGGGCATACTGTTTTCTTCAAACACTGAAAAGTAGCAATTGACTACTTTGAATTCTTATATAAAGCTTTACATATATATTTAGAGTCGTTTTCAATTGACCATGTAAGATTAMTTAGTGACTAATAGTTGGTACCACATTCTGAATCTCTTGTATCCTTTTTATTCTTACCAACAAATACTACCTAATAGTCATTTTCATTGCACGGTCAAATGAAAACGAAGGTATAATGTAGAATTTTTGTTTAAGAGATTTTTGGTTTGTATCGCCAGTAATAAAAAAGAACCTAAAGATATGACAAATAATTAGTTAATTCTATTTTTATAGTCTATTGTTCCTCATTTTGTACTTAATACAAGAGTTTATTATAATTGATATTCTTAACATGCTTTGTTTAAATATTTTTTAATAATATAGAGTGTAGTTTTGTTGGAAATGCAATGTAGTGAAAGAGTTTTGTTATGTAAATAAAGCTTTTATATTGATCTTTTATTATAAAAATTGAATCTGGATCTTTGTACCATTTAGCCATTGTTGCAATTGAATTACATAAACTATGCTCCAGTTATTTTGCTTGGATGTAAAGGCATGGCTTCCTTTCTGAATAGTGCAGGAAAATTATGTTTTATTTTTAATGTTAATTTTGATAAATATTATTCAAAGCTTCACCAATCCTTCCATGTTTAAAAAAAAGACTTTTGTAAACAATTATATTATTTTGTGATTTTCACTAATCTACTCCACAAATAGAGATAACCTGACATGACAAGTCTGTTCTTATCGTGTCACCATGTAAATTTGTTTTATAACCTAAGGCTGAACAACACAAAAAAATGCTCTGTAAAGATCAGTGCTTGAGTGTATCAAAAAGGTTTTCAGCAACCCCAAGAGTTATGATCTCTCAGGAATTGCAGTGCTCACGGGGAAAATAAAAGACTTGATACAAATATATTATTCAAATCAAATGTTTTATTGGCATCGTAAGATTCACAATGTCTTATATAAAATCTTATTATACAAATTCTAACACTATTCTGTCATTACAACAGCATTTTTGTACTCCAGAATGTCTTGGTATTGATACAAGGTAACCTAAAAACAAGAAACAATGTAAACATTATTTACTACTACTTTTTATGCTACAGCAGAAAATCAAAGCAAAACAATTACGCAAAACAACTGTCACAATCATGTTTGATAGTCACTTATTGTGTGACATTTACACTATATTGTGTGACAGAACATGCACACTTTAAAATTTTATYTGACATCTTATTTTCTTTGCTAAAGAGTGTCACACAATAATGTACCACAAAACAAAAAACATTCAGTCCAGAACAAGATGATAAACCTTGTCATCATAATACTTCATAATTTGTGGTWAATAGTGATCACTTACTATTCATCAACAAAAAAGCTTTTGTAATGCTTCTAGCGAGCTAATCGTCTTTTCTCTTTGGRTTATTTACGGCAACATAATGATACAAGACAACCAGAAGAAATAGGGACACCCCCAAGATATTGGCGAAGGCTGCTAATTGGATATCAGAAATCATAGCTGTAAAAGAGACAAAACATAGACTTTAAGTTCTAAAATAAGTCACCATAATTACTATCTGATTACCAACACAATCATCTTAAATCACATGAAGCCATACAAGGTTCCCAAAACAAAAACGTGTGAGGAGACTCAAATGCAGGCAGAGGAGTAAATAAATAAGTTTTGTTTTGCCACAATTGAGGATTAGGGTTCTCGACAATCTATAAGGAAGTCATGAGAAAGAGAAATTTTCATGACCCAACAACATCAAAAAGCTGATTTACACGGCACGATTGTCTCGTGCGACTTGTAGTATACGACTTGAATCGCGCAGTGTAAATGCCCCTACGACTTGTCTACAACAGTCGTACGCAACCTACGACTTGTAGTAGGGTTTTGAACCATTGCTTAAAATCCTACGACTTGTAGTAAGAAAATTGTATACTGCAAGTCGCACGCGACAAATCGTACCGTGTAAATCAAAGAAAGAGGTCTTAGGAAATGTTGAAAAGTTCTATGGGGGAATGCTTCAAAGGACTTTACCATGTGAGCTATTCCTCTTGTCTTGCCTAAGGGGCTAGCTATGGAAAGAAACCAAGCAGTGATTTCCTTATATATTTTCAAAGCAAGAATGGCTTTTCTCCATTGCTAGCTAGATGGATACTTCGGAAAGATAAGAGGAATCACTGTTCCCAGGGTACAGGCACTTCAAACTTCATCAGGCATATCCAGTACCATTATACAAGATAAAAAAAACACTGAAGTTGTTATAATGCTCGTTTAGCTTGGGATTTAGGGCTGCTTATATCACATCGGAACTCCATAAATGCAAAAAATAAGTTAAAAAATTTCACTTTGTATAAGCTTATCATATGTTTATAAATAAAGCTTAATGTAAATGAATTATAATAACTTAAAAAGTCCCTACTACAGACCATTATTACAAATATCTTTTTGACATTTTCAATTATTTGCCACTGCTGATCAAAAAGATAGTTGTAGTTGTACGATTATTTCTAGCTTTTCGATTGCTTTTCTTCGTGTAATAACTTATTACAATGATAAAGCACCCTAAGCCCTCATGGTCGATATAAAAGTTCCTTAAGATAACTCCTAACAGTTGAATCAAATATAACAGTTTTACCTAGAGTTTGAAGGGTGCTTTTTTCTCGAGTAAGGTTCACTTTGCTATTCTTTGCAGACTTCGAGCTGAGAAGAAAAGAAAGCCACGACACCATTCACTCGTCCAAGGGGACTGGGCAGACTGACTGCTAAGGATCTTGGGTAAAAGCAATTCCAAAATATTTTGATTCGAGATTTTAGAGAAAAGTGTGAGTTATAATATTAGGAAGTAGGAGTTAAGATAATACGCGAGAATTGAAGAGTTTATATGCTTTCCTGACCCAAGCTTTAATATGTCACGATCGAGATTTTTCAAAACAGGAGTAGAATATCTACGAATTTTAACCCGGGAAAGTAAGACCTTTGATTCTGTAGGAAAAAAGGTAACTTAACTAAAAGCTTTATAAAAAGCCTATTTCTCATATAAGCTTAACGTTTAGGCTGATAATTCACTGYAGTATAAGGAAAAACTGAAAGGTTGGGGGAGTCAGGGGAGGGGAGGGGGTGGCCAAGGGGGGTATTTCAACAAGAGTAGTGATTTCGCTGCTAAAAAAACTCCTTGGCATAAGTGCAGATTCAATGAAGATTCCATATCTTTATTTGTTTGTTTATTTATTTATTTGCTTACCCAGCTTGAGATGGAGACATTCACAAAGGGTCAATGCATATGTCGTATGGTTGTAGGCCAAGAAGACACAAACAAGTATGGAACCCTTCATGGAGGACTGACTGCTAGTCTAATTGATATTGTTACTACAATGGCAATAATAGGTGCGACTGGAAAACCAGGTGTCAGCACAGATATTGGAGTAAGGTACAGTAACCAATGAATTAAAATACCTTTAAATATCATTGTCAAATAATTCTGACTTTTCTGAGTSTTTTCAGTTACTTAAGTGCAGCAAAAGTTGGTCAGGAGATAATGGTAGATGCAAAGTGTACAAAAATTGGTAAAAGTCTTGTGTTTACAACTGCGGACATAACTTTGGCAGATGGTTCACCAGTAGCTCAAGGAAAACATACAAAATACTTTATACCAGGAATGCCAGTAATATTCCCTACTGATCTACTTGAGGATGAAAGCTGAAGAAATAGTACTATTTGTTTCACAGATTAAGTTCATCCATCTATCCAACTAGATAAAATTAACAGAATTCTGTAGTCTAGCAGCTCATTGTGACCTTTGTGATTGGCTGGCAAGAACAATAGGCTCTTGCTTATGCATCAATCTTTAGTTTCACTGTGTTGAGCCAAACAGTATACTTTTGAATCTTTTGTCACCTACTTGATTGCAATGAATTGTTGAATTAGTTCAGGAGAAAACAAGAGAAGTTCACATGCTTTTCCCAAACATATCCTACAATGCATTGCATTATATACAGTGTATGTTGTAAGAGCTTCAGAGGTCTATTACCAGTGAATCAGTGTAAGACTTTATGGCTAACTTTACCTGGAAATTCAGACACCTCTCATCCCCCATGAAATTAAAGACTCTCTCCCTTCTGGGAGTTTGATTTTAACTGGGGATGATTACTATAATAGTTCTATTTTCTTGGACAACGTTTTTGCAATTAATTGAAAATAGACAAACATAAAAGTACTAAATATATCTCAATGCGGTTAACTGAAATGTAAAAAAGTAACAAAATACCACAAGTAGTACCATCTTATCTCTGAAAGCACACTTAATATTATAGAGYCTATAGAAAAGAAGGCATTGGATGTAGACGTCAATATATAACCAGTACATTTGCCTCAAAGAAGGCACTGGCCACAAAAATAGTAAAAAAGAGAGCAAATAAAGAAGATAAAAATGCTGTTTTCTATTTTTTTATTTTCTAAATGTCAAGTTTTTATTAATTACTRGCATTTACTGCTTTTTATTGAAGTGGTTTTCATAAACTCATGAAATATTGCATTATTATTGAAGTTAGTAGTAATAAAGAGGGTACTAAAGGGGGGATCCGAATCCCAATTTATATATTTGGCCAAATCTCAGTCAAAAATTACACAATCCCATCGGTTTTGCTCAATTTTTCAATCCCATTCCCATTTTCTATGGTTTTTGTATTTTTAAATCCCATCCCCAGTGCATCAAATCCCAGTCCCAGTGCATTATATCACATTTTCCCAGTCCAAAATGAAGCAAATCCCAGTCCCATTTTACACTTCAGGACCCTCAACAAATGGAGAAATTATAAGTAGTACAAACGACTACCTAGTGCATTAACGCATAATATAAGACTAGTTGGAAAATATCAAAATAAGTCTATGAAAACCACTCTGTACTGTGCATTCCTATTCAAAAGGAGACTGGAAATGAGTGTGAATAAA